ATAAAAAAAAATTAGCCAGGCATGGTGGCGCATGCCTGTAGTCCCAGCCACTCAGGAGGCTGAGGCAGAAGGATCACTTAAGTCCAGGAGTTTGAGGCTGCTGTGAGCTAGGCTGACACCACAGCACTCTAGCCCAGGCAACAGAGGAAGACTCTGTCTCAATAAATAAACAAACAAACAAACAAACCAAAACACAACACTCAACTCCAAAGAATTAGCTCCGATCCTAGACAGTGTCTTTTCTGTACATATGGGATCTTGATGGAAACCCTTTCGGTTTTATTCTCTAAAACATTTACATTTAGGTGAATGTGGTGGATGGGCACTTGCTTTATACCTGCATGAAAAACGAGTCATTCCTATAGTTGTCATAAACAAAGGAACAATCTGGCCCCAAGGAAAAACGGAAGGATGAGGTCATAGATCCTGGAACTGATCCTAATCCAGGTTTAGCCTGGGAGATGACCCTGCGTTCACAATGATTTACCTCCAAGACAGGCACAAGAAGCCCTCACTGAACATCGTCAATAGGTTCTTGGAAACCATGATTTTAAGCAAAATGATGTACAACAAAACTAACTGTACCATAGGCTAATTGATACAAACAAGAGCAAGGTTCTTATGGCCTATTTCTGATCAAAAAATCATTACCAAACTTCTAAAGACCAAAACACTTCTATAATTAAACATTGAAATAAATTTATGTGGGCTATACATATATTTATGAAAGATTAATGAAAAAACAAGTAAAATAATTATTTACCCAATTATTCCAGTTCAGGATCAAGGGTGGTTGGAGCCTGTCCCTGCAGCTCAGGGCGCCAAGGAGGGAACCAACTGAGACAGGACGGCATCGCATTGCGGGGCGCACTCACGCACTCCCACTCAGACTCAGACTGGGATGGTTTGGACGTGCCAGTTCACCTAACATGCACATCTTTGGGATGTGGGAGGAAATCGGTGGACCAGGAGGAAACCCACATGGACATGGGGAGAATGTGCAAAGTCCACACAGAGAGTGGCCCTGGCTGGGAATCAGTTTCCTTTTTTTCTCAACAACATTATAATGTTGAATGAAATGACGTTAATCAAGGGCCTGCTGTGTTTGAGGCAGTCACTAGAAGAAAGTAACCAGCTTCCGCCTCTTTCTGCTTTTTATACCCAAACTTCAAAGCTGACCTCTAGTCAGCAACATAACCATTCCCAAAGCTTGATAAAGCGTAGATAAGAGTAACAGCTTTCATCATTAGATCAATCAGACACGTCCCAGCTTCAGATATGACTCTGTATACTTAGCTTATAGCTTATACTCGGCTGCCAATGTTCTGAGTGCTGATAGTATACACATTATGTTTCCTGTCCTACATACAGTTGTCTCATTATTCATGGTTATGATCTATAAAGTCATCAAAAAACACAGAGTCAGAGAATACCAAACAATTTGCTCCTAGGGGAAATACCAAATTAGGTTCCTGCAAGCCCCTCATCTCAACATTTTCATAATGACCAATACATGACGTGGTTTTGAGTATGTTTCTGTTTAAGGACACTTTATTTAATATATATTGATGATTCGTTAACACCGAACTCATGCCTGAATGAAGCTTTTCTAACACAGGTTTTTTTTCTCCGTAAGACACAATCACAGCCTTTTTGTGCTTAGGAACCCTAGACAGCACTTCGGCACTATGCCTGGGGGTCATATTTAACAATAAAATCACCAAAACAAACCGAAAGCAAACGACCTGGCACGAACTATACCAAAACAACGATATTTGTTTATATTATGGGAGTTGAAACAGGATGGACAGAACATCACCTTGCTGGGCCTCAGCTGGGAACTGCCCCCAGATGACTCAACGTTTTTGCCACTCTGTTCACGCCTGCAAATGACCTTGGCAGTGCAGCAAGTACTGACTTGGGGTAACACGTCCATTTTAGCGAGTAGGTGAGTTCACAATTATAGAATCCACAAATGATGAGGAGCAACTTACTTTCCCAAGCTGGTTTAATCTGGTGACACTGTAAAGTGTATCTGGATTGCTATGCAAACCTAAAACATCGTTAGTGGCCATGCAATTATGCTGAGGGGTGGTAATCATTAAATCATTAAAGCTGGGAAGTACCAGATATGCAGCACCTGACCCATCCCCCTTTCTGGGGGGGTGGGATGGCGGAGCTGGGATATAAGTTTCAAAGCTGAAAGCAGATTCTCAGGGGCTGGAATCAGGTACGTACCTACATCAGCTGGGAAGGAGCAAAATGAGACAGGGCCTCAGAGAATTCAAATGATCAAAGCTGGGAAAACTAAGTCCACTGCTAAGTTTTTTTAAAAAAAGTAGGAACACAGATGGAAACAGAATATCAAAGTTTAAGAGCTAGATGCCAGAAATGGAATATAACATCAGAGGTTAAGAGCTAGTTGGAAATAGAATAAAAAGAAAGAATCACAAGGAACAAAACCAGAATGCTCTTGGGTTCTAAAAAAGCTGAAATGTTTGCAGTTTTCCCTCATGACTTGTCAGCGGCATAGACTAGGCTGACTTCAAAAGACAGGATCCAGGTGAGAAGATGAGAGAGGAGTGAAAGACAGGGTTGATTTTCTCGGACCAAGTAGTTGAAGGCAGAAAGTTTAGTTATGCCGGTGCCTTGAGTTATTCCAAGAAGTAGTAATCTAAATTTCAAATGGACAGGTTTACTGATGTGAAAGACATAAACTCCTGCTTAAAAGGTTTCCTCTGCTTTTTATTTCCTGTTCTGTAGTATTCTCTGGGAAATAGAAGGCATGTGCCAGATGCTACAGCTCTTCCGAATATTCTCTGGTAGGCTGGGCTTATGGTGAGACTCCGCAGAGGGGGAGGACAGCAGAGCAGGAAGCTGTGGTTACTGTAATAATAATAATAAAAGCCAGCATTTACTCAGTACTATGTGCTGAACACACTGCTCCAAATGCTTCACACATCATAATTCATTTAATCTTCACAACTACCCTATACATTAGACACTACTAGTATTTTCATTTTACAAGTGAGGGAGTATGCTCTTCATTCTGGTTTGTCTTAGAGATACAGCTGTAGAGAGCTATCCATGTGTGAAGCTGGTAGCACACTGGTTGTATGACATGCAGCTACAGAGGTCTTCAACCCAAGAGCCATTTCACACTCCAGTTACTTGACATCTAAAAATCAGTCTTCTCCTAACTTCATTTCTGTTCCAGTTTAGTTTCCAGTGTCTACCACTTTAATAATTCTTTCAATTCTTCAATTCGTTCAATGCTTTCCCACCTTCCATCCTAGTGACTTGGTGAAAAACAAAATGAAAAACCCTAGAAGAATATAACTTCCAACCTTTTCATACCAACATATATCCAATTTGCTTAGCCCCAACAAGAAGAGCACTACACACACACACATTTCCCTGAAGCCTACAGTTGTTCTTCCAATCATTGCCATGCATAAGAAAGCAAACGCACCAGTGTGGGATAATGGGGTAGGACTGAAACCCAGCACACCTGAGCAGCTCCTTCCCTCACCCCTCCAGTAGTTATTTTAGTTCTGCTTCTCTTGGTATAGGAGGTTCCATTTGCTTTTATCCTTTCATCATGACTGACCTCCCCAGATGTCTAAAAGCTTTTTCCTGGATATTCATCTTTGAATATCAGCTGCCTTGGCTAACAATGTCTACCTGGAAAGAGGGGCAAAAGCCTAGCTTCTGGTCTTCCAAGTGAGCACAGGCAGGTAGATAGCAGCTGGCAGGTTAAAATGCTGAGCAGAGATTTCAGCAGCAGGGCAGTTCTGGGGAGACAGACAATGGAGTTCAAGCCCCACAGAGGTTAAGGGGCTTTCTGAAACACTCCAGATCTTCAGCTGACCATATAAGCGCCATGTCCTAAGAATAAGGACCATGCACTAGGACAAGCGTTATGCCCCAGGAGTAGAGAGAAAAACTGAAATAGAGCATTCCTTAACGAGGCTAAAACCAGCCTTCGATGGGAACAAGGTCATCTACCAGTACTCTAATAACCATCCAGAAGAAAACTTAACCCTCTTTGGATAAAGATATATCCTCAAAAGCCTTTAAAATTTTTCATCTGCAATATCTTGCATTTAATAAAAATATACATGGTATGTTATAAAACAGGACTCAATGACCTAAAATGATATGCAAATAATCCAGATACCAGAATTTTCCAGCAGAGACTTTAATATGCTTAATACATAAAAAATGGAACATTATGCCAGAGACCTGGAATCTATTAAAAACAGAGATAAATGGAAATTCCAGAACTGAAAAATATTGTTTTTAAAATAATTCGACAGATCACATGACATAACTTTAAAATATATAAGAAAAAGAAAAAACAGCCAAATCCAAGATGGAAATTTTAATATCTTAAATATATATTTTTAAAAATATATCTAAAAATTTTAATATATACTGTATATAACCTACTTAATTGTAATACCCAATTAGAAATTTAATACTTCTCTCAACAACTGACATAATAAGCATAGAAAGAAAGAAAAAATACAGAAGATTTGAAAACCATGACAATTAGCCAACTTGGTCTAAGTGGCATTTATCAGACACTACAAGTAAAACTTACAGAATACGTAGTCTTTACAAATGTATGTGGAACATTTATCAAAATATACCATATACTAGTCATAAACAATCTCAAAGTTTCAAAGAACTGATGTCATAGAGTATACTCTCTGATTAAAGAAAATTAAAATAGAAATCAACAACAGAAAGATAACAGGAAACCCCCAAATATTTGGAAGTGAAGCAACACATTTCTAAAAATTCTAAAATTCCATGTATCAAAGAAGAAATCAGAATGAAAATGAGAAAACATTTTGAGTAACTCAAAGTAGCTCATAACTGACTCTAGATTTGTTGGGATATTTGTATTGTATATTTTAAAGATTATGGAGAATTTTGCATTCTTCTGCTCCAGTGTTTACTGGAGACCATTCTTCTAAGTGAAGTATCACAAGAATGGAAAAACAAGCACTACGTGTACTCAATACTAAATTGGAACTAATCAGTCAATACTTACGTGCACACATGGAAGTAAAACTCAACAGAAATCAAGGAGGTGGAAGGGGGGTGGAGGGGATGGGTAAATTCACACCCAACAGGTTCAATGAACACACTAACTGGGTGAAGGGCACACTTAGAACTTTGACTCAAACTGTACAAAAGCAAATTATGTAACCAAAACGTGTGTACCCCCATAATATTCTGAAATTAAAA